TGACCTCTAAATCCATAGATATAAACGAGTGTAAGGAAAGACTGGATGACTGCGCTGCTGAGGCACAGTGCTGGGATAGACATGGCTCATTCGAATGTAGATGTTTACCTGGATACTCTGGAGATGGACGATTTTGCAATGGTACGTATAATAAGCTCAAATCTTTGCGACCTCTACCGCTGACATTCTGAATGAATTGTTCGCTGAACGTTTTTGTAAACTTCGACATTACGTCAATGAAACTGTTAAAAACAGACCTTAGATACTCATGTGACTGGAAATGTTGATAAGAATCAAAAGAATAGCAATGGTTAAAAGACAACAATGATAATGGTGACAATGATAACAATACTATTGACAGAATACCTGTGCTTACAATATGGACAATTCCAAAATGTGATCTTTCAGCTTTTATATCTGTGAACCAGATCTACTTTATGACATTCTTTAGGCAAATTTAAGAATCATTTCATAACCATCACTGTCAGTCTAACACCTCTGCGACCCATGGGCAGGAATCTTTAGTTGCACATGCTTAGGATATGAAGGAAAAGTTGTGTTGGTAGGAAATATTTGCAAGATAAATTCTTTCTTGTTGTCTTTTGTTTACTGAGACACTTATCCTTGTCACAAGACTTAAAACACATTTATGGAATTATGTAGATGTCGATGAATGTGCAACCTCAACTCATAACTGTCATGGAGTTGCTCACTGCTTTAACAATCCGGGATCCTTCAGCTGTGAGTGTCGCAAAGACTACATTGGAGATGGAATAGCATGTGAGCCGAACGGTAAGATTCAATTCATATTGCAGTGAAAGAGAACCGGGCTGAAAATTAATCAGTTCGTTAAGTTCTATACATTTCTATAATCGAGCAAGGTAGTGTGAGAAAAACTATCATATTTATTTCAAGGTTAGATAAAAAGTGAACCAAGCCTTAGAATACTTCATAACAGAAGCCCTGGTGTGAAACACCAGAAGACAATTCATTTTGTTGCTAAAAGCATGTAACAGAAAGCTTGTTTCTTTGAGGTTGAAAGCTTCATGCAGATGTGTTTCCAAAATATTCCTAGGAGATTTCTCGGTAACCATCAGAAATATTTCAAAAGACAAGTACCATGCCACAACTGTAAGTCGTTCGGTCAAAAGCGTCCAGGAAGCCGTGATACAGGGTCTAAATGAAGACTTGACTGTACTGAAAAGCACTTTCGAATGGAGCGTGGTTAGTGAACTGGAACTAGCTGCTTCCGAGTCAGCATTAGGAACTATAGTTAGTCAAGGAACAACGGAGTGGACAATAAACAGACGATCCATACCAGCAGGTATTTATCAAGTCAAATTCAATGCTACAATTACAGTTGGAGATCAAGAATCCCCACGGATGCTGAATGCTTTTGATTATGGCTTCATTGAGGTTATTGTAGCTCCAGTGCGAGCAATCATTGATGGGGGAAGCAGTATTCGATGGGGATCCAAAAACATTGTGACTGTGGATGGTTCCTTGAGTTACGATGCTGATATTGGTCCTGGAGAATATACTGGGCTCAATTTCACGTGGACCTGCCGGAATGACACTAATGTGAGCAACACTTGTTTCGGTTCCTTCCATGGTGAAGGAAACGTAAGCTCTAGAGACATTACAATTGATCCTAGTGGACTTGAAATCAATAAGACGTATTCCCTTCGACTTACGGTTTCCAAGGATACGAGAAGTTCGTTTGCTGAAATGTCCTTTGCCATAGCTGCTGGAGAGGTACCTCAGGTTACTCTCAGGTAATAATTTCGAATTATGACAGACCAGTGTTCACAGGCCGATTCTAAATAACTTGGGAAAAAATTAAGAGCTTCATTGGGTATTTTAAGGTTTAGCCAACGTGCTGCAGAGCTATTGAAGACCTGCTCCACTAGTGACGGGCAGGTACTGATTTCAGAGAGTCATATCGCCATGCAACTGAAACACATTTTTCAAGTGCGTGGGCATATTTGAATTCAACCATTTACGTAAAGTCAGTAAAGTGCCGTTGAGGCTGCAACTGTTTTGATAGTTCTCCTCATTGATTTTTGCTTTTTTTATGTTTGTGTATGTTCTTTTTTGTTGTTGTTTTTGTTTTGGCTTGTTTACAGTTCATTTTCTATTTTTCTTAGATGCTTTGTGGATTGCGGCGCAATAGTGTCTGCGTCAAACAAGCTCCGGGTGACATCAGAGTGTCTTAACTCTCCTTGTAATGGATCCACTTATGAATGGCGCTTATCCAAATTAAATGGTTCAAAATGGGTAAACATATCTATTTTACCCAATATGACTTCAACTGCTGTTAATGCTACTAATATGATCATCAAGAAGAATTCATTGCAATCTAAATCAAAATACAATCTAACATTATTTGTAAAATCTTTGGATGGGACATACGGGTTTTCTATGCTCCTCTTCGAAACTGCAGGGGAGCCGCACAGTGGTTACTGCGCGCCGTCAATCTCTGAAGGCGTTTCACTGGAGACTGAGTTTACTTTCAAGTGCTTCGATTGGCAGGATGCGAGCTTACCGCTCACCTATGAATTCGCCCATGGAGAGGAGCCTATATCTTATGGCACATCAACCTCGTCTGTATCGACAGTGTTACCGACTGGATTACCAGACAAAGATTTCTTGCTAGAAGTCACTATTGTTATCAGAAATGCAGTTGGGGTAGCTGTTGAACAGAAATTATTTGTCAAGGTGCAGTGATTGATATTACAAAGCAAGAAAAATTTGGAACTCAACCAAAGATTTTCATGTTTTAAAATTTTGATTTATAGAAACATTATGTTTTATGTTTTTTCTGTACTTACTAACCTCTGGAGTTTTTCCAGCTTAAAATCCTCCAATATTACGGCATTGTTGCTAGAATCCATTTAAAATCTGTAATATTGATTAAAACGCCCAAGACCTCTTACCCCCCGATCCAAATTTTCGATTTCCTCACAAAAGCCTAAAACAAACCTTTTTCTCCGCAGGTAAAGCCATCATCGAGCCTCGATCCATGTGTTTCGTCACCCGAGCAAGTTGCAAACAAGTTAAAAAGTTTTGTAGTCATGGAAGGTAATAAGCTTGATGGATTTCTCAACAAAGGTAAAATTAGCCAAGCTGTTCAAATCGGTTTATCTGTCATCAAGTCTGCAAATGAAAAAAGCGAATGTGGAATAGATCTGGACCCTCAAGACAAAGCTTTGGTACGTTAAAATAACTGTTTAAATGTAATCAGCGAGACTTAAACATTTCTCTTACTAGTAATTTCGTTTTCATTATCTGTACATGTATTACTACACAAATTTATAGCGATTTCTATTTATCTTGAGTGGTATAGGTAAGCGTTGAATATGTTTGACGCACTTCTTTTTGTTTGTAGATCTTCAACGCATTAATTACGAAGTTTACAGCAATAACACCGGAGAATCTTGAAATGTCTCGCCTGGTTATGTCAGTGGTGAGCTTAGCTATGGAAGCTAAGGTTGACGTCAACGATAACAGCAACAATGACAACCTGGTGCGCCCTATAAATATATTGAATTTTTCCTTTTTTCTATACTTTTTGATGTAAACATATACGATAAATCAATTTTGGTTCATACATGGTAATGGGAAACGAACTGATCTCTGTTGCAAGTCCATTAAAATGATATTGAATGAATATTGGAAGGTTACAGCTTTAAAATTTTAAGGAATGACGGAGTTTAAGCTGGTGCCCCCCTAATTCGACTGCAAACTGAGCAATGCTCGGTGCCATTGAATAAAAGAGGCTCTTTCTTGCCCCTAAAGGATTCTGATTACAAATAAATGAATAATTTTGACTTGAAAGTAATAACAAAACAAGTAACGAAGTTAAACTCACTGGTAAACGTAATGAAGAGACCTGCGTTTGAGTTTGCGTTTTTTTTTCGAGCATTGTGGTCTGTTTTTTTCCAATTGATATTCCAAAGAGTAAGGTGATTTGTTGATATTATACTAATTTTTTCTTTTATCAGGAGTTGACGATACAATTGACAGACAGTACTTCAAATATGATGATCTCTACCGTTAACGATCCAGAGGAGCCTTTTACACCAACGTTGGAACTTGTAGCTACAAGTGTTACAGACTGTCTTGCAAATGTTCTGAAGTCTGCTGCAGGCTCGAGTCAAGATAGAGCAGATTTGGCTGCTACCACGCCATCTCGAGAGGTACGCATCGCAAACACAGCCTCCAAAATAAAAATGTACTCTCCTACGTATTACCTTGCTGGAATTAGTTTTTTGACAACAATTTTTGATGACTCGTTTTATGGGGCTACGAAGGAAAATTAAGAGTCTAAGGAAATCTAACAGTCACTATACAAACACGTTATGACTTACATCTTTCTCTCCTTCCAGTTTGTAAAGAAGGCCTCCGAAAAACTGAGCAGCATGAGTGATGCATTTTTTGGCCGTTTGGTGCTATCAGAAGATCTGGTCCTAAAAACTCCGAACTTGGTTATATCGCTGAAAAAGGTCACGGCCAATGATGCCAAAGGACTCAGCATGGGAGATGGACCAAGTAAATTCAAGCTCCCGAGCAACCTTGGAAATATAGGTGATGGGGAGATAAATGCAAAGGTATGATGCCATTCTTATCTTAATTTTCATCTTTTAAAGAATATGACAAAGGACATTAATAATCGCTGATAATGACGTTTGGTTGTCGTTTAAGACATTCAACTGCTTGCACTTTACCTGAGAGTAACCTGTCGTAAAGCTTATCATCGTGTAGTCTGAGTGTTTGAATGTATAGATTCCCAGTAATAGCAACCGACGTCTCAACGACCATAGTTGAAGTCATCACAAGAGTCAGTTTTCAGAGTTGGAGAGTTAGACTCTAATAGACTCTGTTCTATTTCAGATGCAAGCTGTTGATTTTAATCCTTTTACATGGGACAATAGCAGCAAGAAAATAAAATCAAGCGTGACGAGTCTCGAGCTTAAGAGTAACAGTGCAGAAAAGCTTAATGTGTCAAATCTTGATAATGACATCGAGATCGTAATTCCGATTTCTAATCCACCAAAGAACTCCAGCAACACAACACAACATTATTTCCTCAAGCCTGACCGCATATCATTCCGAAGTTATTACGCAAACCTAGCCGACGTCCCTGTCTCTTTAAGATTGGGTTTGGCCATAACAGGAGCGCAAATTGAAATGCGGATTAAATTTGGACAACGACCAACGATGGTGGACTTTGACCACAATTTTAGTTTTGCGTTTAAGTCTAAATGTGACAACCGAACAGTTTTTAATACAACCTGCTTTACCAAAGATGGGTCTGTTAAAGTGACGCCTCCTAAGCCAGGTTTTCTCTACGTGGGCTTGTTGGTCAAAGGCTCTAAGAATGAAAGTCAACATTTTAGGCAAAGAAGATCATGTTTCAATCATCGTCGCGAAAGACGGTCATGTGTCGGCGTTAAAGATCCGCCACCAAAAGGAGTCCTTAAAACTATGGTTCCACAATATGATCCAAATACAGACGTTAACTACACTTTAATCATCAGCCAGTCAAGCTGTTTGTATTGGTCAGAGGAAAAAGAAAAGTGGACTGCGGAAGGTTGCAAGGTAAAGTAAATAATGCAAATTTTTCAACTTCTGATAAACCTATTGGGTGAAGTCCTTCGTGTCTCATTTTTGTCCACAATGAGGAAACCTATTAGCTCAGTATTAAAAGTATATCAATTGGAAACAAGTTTTTGATTCCTAAATTTCGGGATTCTGTAGTCGAGGAGAAGATACTCCTCGAAAGGTACGGCTTTTAGAGATTATGTCAAAACTTAGCCATATCCGATATCAGTTCCTTTTCTTGCGGACTGAGTTAAGATTGGTAACTTAAGGGGAAATCGATTTACCAAAACTCTTTTCGTTGAATTTAGATGATATATTTCGGGACATTTATATCCACAGGTCAGCCATGATTCAAACACCACGCATCTGGTATGCCTGTGCAATCATTTGACATCTTTTGGTGGAAACTTCATCCAAGCACCGAATCCAATTGACTTCGACAAAGTTTTTACTGAGTTTTTAAACCTTGCTGAAAGTGGCAATATTTCAGTACTTGTGACAATTGCTTGTTGTTTCCTTCTGTACTTCGTCGTGTTGATCTTTGCAAGGAGGGCCGACAAGGGAGATGAAGACAAAGTATGGTTATGGCTGCTACTACATCTAATTCAATATTTTTATTCCCAAATAGATTTATTTTTTTTCTTTTTTAAGGTACTATTGAAATATGAATAAAACCTGCTGCGTTCTTACCAGTAGATGCCAACCTTCAGGTGAGTATTTCGGATTATTTTTAACACTAGAATGTATCCTTCTTTTCAGATTTGCCCTCCTAAATTGATATCAGTTGTTGAGGGAGGAACATATTACTACGATATGGTTATAAGCACTGGTGTTTGGAAACACTCAGCAACAACAGCCAACATAACCATCAGTATCAAGGGCGACAATAACGAGCAGAGTCAAATTCCTTTGCGAGAGAAAGGGGACACGAGCCAGTTTTTCGGACGAGGGAGTATCAATGGCTTTGTTCTGGTGATGGCTGAAACCATTGGCACATTAAAAGAAATTACTTTGGAACACGATAATTTGGGTGATAACCCGTCTTGGTTTGCGGAGACTGTGGTTATCAAAGACCGGCAGACGGAAGAAAAGTGGGTGTTCCCCATTAATAGATGGCTTGCGTTGGAGAAAGACGACGGTCAAATAGAGGTTACTGTGGACAGCGCTACTTACTCTGCCTTCTCGGCGCAGATTCGTTCGCGCTTTGCTCGAAAAATTGCCGACAGTCATCTGTGGATGTCAGTGTTTGGAAAAGCATGTAGCAGCACCTTCACACGTGTGCAAAGAGCTTCATGTTGTCTTTCAGTTTTGTTTAGTGCAATGATAGCTAATGCCATGTTCTATAATATTGGTGGTAAATCCGATGGTGCTATACAGGTTGGGCCATTTAAGTTTTCTTGGAGACAGATAGTCATCGGAATACAAAGTGGCATTATCATTGCACCTATAAACATAATAATTGCCTTCCTGTTTAAGTCCAGCAGACCAAGGAAGAAAAGGAGTGAAAAACACGAAGTGACAGACGAGGCCCAGCGACTTTTGGATGAAATAACGGACACTGGTTGTATGCTACCTCACTTCTTTGTCTACGTGGGCTGGTTTCTCTGCTTCTGTGCAACTATTGCAGCAGCAACGTTTACGCTGTTTTACAGTCTAATGTGGGGAAAGGAAACCTCTGAGCAGTGGCTTGCTTCCATCTTGATTTCCAATGGACAAGATATTTTCGTTATGCAACCCACGAAGGTTATGATAGCAGTCATAGTTATCTCCTTTCTCCTGATCAGAAAGAATAAAAATCAATGTGAAGAAGAAAAAGAGGAAATTGCAATCGATCCACTTGCAATTGAAATAGACTTTGTAAATGATGATCCCAAACAGCGATTTAAGAAATATCAGCGGGAAAAGATGAGGGAGAGATCAAAAAAAGAAGCTCAGTTAACAAGCATGACAAGAGACATTATCCTTCATCTGATATTTATGTTTCTTCTGGCTATCGTTTCTTATGGAAACAAGAATGGAAATCGTTTCCTGATGACAAATGAGATGAGAAATCGGTTCACTAAATTCAATGTGGTAAGATTATCGTTTTAGCCAAAACGCTCTCTCAAGTTTATAGTTAGAAGGCATTTTTGTCGTTATTGCCCTTTGCAAGACAACCCTAAAACCGTTAAAGAATTGAAATGATCTTTGAAAGAAAAATTAGAACTAAGGTTAACCCTTTAATTCCCAGATCAAATTTGTAATTCTCCTTACTGTCAACCATGCTATTCTTATAATGTTAGTTCTTAGTTAAAGTTAGTTAGTTAGAGAATTTAGTCTTGGATCAACTAATTATCCTCAAATTGATATTTTTTCTTATTCTCATCCCTTATCTGGTTGGTATTGCGTTGATACTGTAAGGAGAAATTCTGTGTTGGTCACTCGTAGGAGTTAAAGGGTTAAAGCATTGATCCCTGCTGGTAAACTGCAGTAAGAAAAATCGCAGAAAAGAGGCTTGTAAATGCTCAGGCTTTGACAGGATTCAAATCTGTGCCTTCCACATCCCAACTGACCTACGAGGCCATATGTTGGAAAAAGGCCAAATATAGTTAGTTTTTCACTCCCGGTGAGGAATCTGAACACTTTAGATTTAAAATTACATTTCAATTTAAAAAAACCAATTATTTCAATCAAATGCAAGAACGAATATTAGGATCTGCCCTTTCTTTGGTTAAACGATTGTGTTTATTTGTTATTTTGATAATTATATCAACCTCATCAAATAACAATGTCAACAGCTCTCAGAGTCATATTTTTTATTGTAGGTATCTGATTCACAAAGATTTGAAGCGTGGTTAAGGAACGAATTCCTATCAAACATTTATAATCAGGTGTGGTATAACGGACTTGAAGAGAAAAACGACGTGTATATCGAGAACAAAATGTCAATACTGGTAGGAATGCCTTGGTTGCGACAGCTCAGAATTAAAAAAGGTATACACCAATGAGATTGATCTATTTACTTTTTTTAATGCACAAAATATATTTCCAAGAAGGCTCTTCTTGCAAAGTGCATAGAACAGTGAAACTCATAAATTATAGGAAATATATAGAGAGCCCTATTTTGAAATAATGTGGCATACTCACTTCTACTAAGCGTGTTTGCTTCTTATTAAAGTCAGTTTTCACCTTTGATGACCACAATGTTGCTCACTTCCTGGTGTGTAACATTACACCGCACCTTAGAAATTACTGGATTTTTAGACAGGAAATTGATTTTAAGATATAAATCTTAAAGAATCAGTTGTTTATTTTCTCTGTTCATATCGTCATTACCAGAAGCTTAAGGTTCTAAATTTCTTTCACTGCATTTTCCTTCAAGGTTTTTGCAAGTCCCCCCCTAAAATCATCTCAACTTGCTACTACGACTATTCCTCAGACAGTGAGGACACTACTCCCTTAAGTCTTCCCGGCTGGAAGCCTCTTCCCTTCAACACATCATGGCCAAATGCTTTAGAAATGTGCCCGAAACCTTGGCGATACCAATCAGCAGCAGAACTCCGCAACCATCCTATCCAGGCGGCATACAATTCATATGAAGGTGGTGGTTATGCAGCTGTCATGGGATATGACGAAGCCACTGCCCAAGGCGTCCTCGACGAAACTATTGGCCACGGTTGGCTTGATCGCCAGACTCGAGTTGTTATTCTAGAGTTTGCTGTTTTCAATGTCAATACAAACTTGATTAGCGTTGCCACATTGTTTTACGAGGCCATAGCTACTGGTGCAGCCTACACTACAAAGAGAATTGAAACAGTCGAGTTGTACAGCACTGAGTCAGGAGCTCTGATGTTTTTCTTAATTGGCCAGTTTCTGTTCATGGCAATGGTCCTCTTTTACCTCATGGTTATGTTAGTTCACCTTTATCGACAACGCGTCAGGTTCTTCAAGTCTGTTTGGAACATAGTGGATTTCTTCTTGATAATTTTCTCTGTAGCATCTGTAGCATTCTACATGATCAGAGCCAAAAGCGTTTTGAACACTATCAAATCTATTCAAGCCAATCCATATGAAGTTATGCATTTCCACGCAGCCTTAGATTGGCTTAACCTTGAAAATGCGTCTATTGCTGTTGCTGTTTTCATGGTGACAGTCAAGCTTCTGAATCTAATTCGTTTTAACCCACACGTAATATACTTGTTTTCATCTTTTCGGCAGTCTGTAGGCTATCAACTCTCGTATGTGTTCTTCTTTCTGATCGTGTTTAATGCATTTGTCATAGCAGGTATGCAGTTATTTGGTGGTATAGTCCTTGAGTATTCTAGTTACCTTAATGCCGTAATGTCACAATTCGAATTCCTGTTGGGAAAAGCGGTTCCGTTACAAGCTCTGCGGAGTGACAAACCTTTTATTGGTCCTACGTTTGCATTTTTGTTCTGTCTATCCACTACTATTTTTCTAATGAATATGTTAGTTTCTGTACTCAATGAGTCCTATGGTGACGCCAAAGAAAACGCCGAGGAAAGTGCAGAAGAGCTTGAAATGGCGCGCTTCATTGAAGAACGTGTAAAGGAAATGTTTCACGAAGGGAGCAGTCGGACGGAATTTAGGTTATTTTGTGATGAGACAACTTTTGTTAATATGTGCCTTTCTGAAGTAGAGCCCTTCTGTTTGAATTCTGAAACTATTATCCAAAGCACAGAGCTACGAATGGAAAACGTGGAGAAAAGACTGTCTGCTCTCACTAAACGAACAGAAAGCATGGAAGTTGATCTCTTACAGGAGGAAAATGACCTTATGAACCTCCTGCACACAATGGTAAATTCTTTTGAATACGTTTCAGACAGACAATCAGAGGTTGATCCCTGAATTAGAAACGATTTCTGGTGAAATGATAACGTTGAAATGGCACTGTGTCTTAATATTATTGTCAATATCAGTAAACAAAAGACGCTAAGCAGATCATTTTACCTCGACACTGTTCACATGAAATCCATCAAGAGCGTTCTAACATTTTTTCTCAGTCAATTGACTGTCAAATCCAACATAACTTGAAAATAGACGGAACCGCATTGGCAGTAAATTACAAAATCGACTGGTACATGACGTCTTAAGGTCATCTTGATAATGTAACAGAAGACACTAAAGTCACTAAATATAGTGTTAACGTTGGTCCTCCAATAGATGGGAGATAATTTTAAAAGATAGGAAATGATAAAACATTAGAAAAAAAAACACTGCTTGCTATAGCATAGAAGCCTAAATAAATTCCTTTGTACACGCATAAAGGAACTTCCTTTTATTTTAGTTTTTTACACAGGCATACTTGGAAAAAGGGGATCCTAGTGTTTTTAACAGAAGTCAAATTAAAGATCCTCTGATGAGATTTTTACAGAAAGATGCCGCTGGTTTAGAATAGTGTGCATGTTGTTCTTGAAAAATTTACCCTTCTTGTCTCCTCAAAAAAGTGTCCTTCCTTGAATTCTGGTGGAATTTTACAGTTAAGTAACTTCCTCTTTCTGGCGATGTAGGCCAAATAGAAGTGTTTTGAAAAATTCTCCCATACTTTATGCTTCCTCAAGTTTCTCTTCGTCGTCCTTTATATCGTGTAAATTGATATCAAGAATAGACACAAAAATGTTGATCAGAAGAATTGCAAGTGTGACCATAAAACTGGCAGTGAAAAGAATACCAAAGACTCTATTGACATCATCGAGTTGGACAACGTGAAAGGTGTTCCCAAGTGCTAATTAAAATTCAAAAGCGAACAAGCCGATGAACGATGAAAATGAAAACACAGAGCCACCCAAAACCATGTAAGCAAAATGCCCATGTGCAATAAATAGTAATCCGAAGAGAACACTTATTGAAAAAATATCATTTTTCGCAATGGCTAACGACCACGCTAGTATTTGTAACTGCGGATTAAGTCGAATGGAGTGGAGATTTTTAAACGTGGCAAAGAATAAAGCAAATGAAAGAGCAGCATTTTCCATTTCAGTCCAAAAAATTGCGAACTGAAAGCTTACTGTCACAAATGGATTCCTTCGCACTTCTTGGGTACTGTCATGCATAAACTTCACTTTCATAACGTAAAACACAACTGCAAGCGAGGCACTCACAATTTGACCAATATCTATCCAGTTCCATATTCGCTTGAAAAATGCACCTCCTTTACGACATAGTCTTATAAGAAGTATCGTGATATACACTAACACCATAAATATAAATATCAACTGGCATATTGGGTAAAAGCTGTAGGCCATAGTTTGAAAATTAAACAATCTCATGGTGTCAATCCTTTCGTGAGTAAGCCCAAATCCGAAAGGAAGAACTTCATAATGGTAAGTGATAATGCTCATTAAGTTAGTGTTCAGGTTTAGGACTTGAAATTCAAGCAGAATTGCCCTTGTTCTTCTGTCAATCCGGTCTTTGTCTTTAACAGCCTCCATCATACGGATAGCAGTCGGTTTATCGTATCCCAAATCGAGAACGTACCCTCCACCGCCATATACGTGATGTTGTGCTCGCGATGGAAAGTTATTGAGCTCCTCTGCAGTTGAATAACGCCAAGGCCTTGGTAAAAGTTGTGATAGATTGTTCCAACTAAGCTGTGGGTCTGACAAGTGAATCCAATAAGGAAGATAAAGGCGTATCGTATCCTCCTCTGACATTGAGTAAAAGTTGTAGCATTTGTCAATCATATCCTCAAGCTCCTTCACGACGGTGCATGATTCTATTTTTGAAACAAATCGAGCAGAGATTAAACAATAAAACTCAAACCTTAAGAGATTAACGAGGGACTTCCAAAAATTATCGTCATTTTTATTACACAACCACTCTCTACTTTCGACATACGCAAATTTATCTCTTTAAATGTCAGTGAGAAAGCATTCCACTTCTCTCGTTACAAACATGATGAAAAGCGTGAAAACGACAAATACCTTCATTTATCCTCAACTGTCGAAGACGAGGCATTCCAATCAGCATGGAAGCTGTGTTACCAATGTACTCTGTCGTCGGCTCAAACTGTCTATTGTACCACTCACCGGCATAAGAGTCATGGATGAACTTTCCCAACATGTAATCCCACATTTTGTCACCAGTGTTTACCTACAAAAGACAAAAAAATGCAATGATGTTTGGTAAACCAGGAATAGAATAACGTTGTTGACTTTCATCATTTTGGGACATCTGCATTTAAACTTCACCTGTATTGACAGCATATATAATTAAATTGTGGCTTAAGAAGGAGGAAAAGTGAGAGAGTCAGTAGATTTTAAATTCAGTTCACATTGGGTAAAACAGTGGGTAAAACTGAAATTGAATGGCTGACATTGAAAAAGAAGTCCTTTGGAACGATATTTAAATTCATGTTGCCCAAAAATTCCACCCTATGTCATTATAAAATCATGCCCTCAGGCATTCAAACTGGCGTACTCTTTTTGGCACTTTCTTACTGTCATCCTGGTTTGTTCATACAGAGATTGACATGCGGCAAAATTGTAAACCTAGTGTCTGTAGATCAATTCAGTTCGGACTACCATCGGCACTGCCAATGGGTTGAGGCATCACTAGATAATTTTTTGTTGTGGCAAAGTGAAAGATGAATGTAAAGTAGTTTACCGAAAATTCCCTATCATCAAGACATATTTTTGCACAACACTTGTGGAAATACGCTAAACTGTCACGCGTGGCTTTAGTCATCAGGTACCTCCTTGTCTCCATAAGCTACAATCATCAAAAAGAGATAAAAGGCCAAAAAAGCCAAAAATTGTCGCGCAAATCTAAAAAATTTTGCCTTCCGTAATTCATAAGCACGTTGCTCCTGTATCTCCTCTGCATAGGATGTTCCATCGCAATTTTCAGTTTCATCGAGTGGCTTAGGTCTTTTAAAAATTAGACTCAATAACAAAGCTAATACTAGGACTTTAGAAGGTTGCCAGATGAAAACATCTTCGACACAAGATACCAAGACAGAAACTAACCATTGATCAGCAATTTCCTTACCCCATTGAAGGCTGTAAAATACTGTAAACGTGGCAGCCGTCGCTGCTGTTGCAATACAGAGAAACCAGGCAGGATACACAGAGGCATGGGGAAGTAAGAATTGTTCATTGTTATTTTTAGCTGAGGACATATCAGGAGAATTATTGTTTGAATCGCCGTCTTCACTCTCTCCGTTCGTTTTTGCCTTTCTGAAACGGAATAACGCAGTTATGATAATATTCACTGGTGTAACTATCAGTGTACTCTCAATTCCAATAACTAGCTGGCGAAGGGACATTTGCAATGGCCCTATCTGGATCAAATCCTCGGAACTGCCAACTACCAGATAAAACATGGCGTTACACACCATTGCCAAATACAGAGAAGAAAGGCAGCAAGAGGCACGCTGAACGCGTGTGAGGAAATTGCGTGGTGGCCTGGTAACGACAGAGGCCCAGATGTGGTAATCGGCCAGGTCTGCTGAAGTCATTGAGTGAAACATACTTTTAAACCCTGGGCTGTGCTTACCATTATCACGGGACATGAGAGTCGCAGCGATCGTTCCATTATCCTTTTGAAGAGCTAGCCAATTATGATAGAAGAAATCCCACTTTTCCCCTGTACTTCTTTCAACAATATGAACTTGATCAAGGAACCAGGAAGAACTCTTTCCATTGTTGTCATACCACATTTCAACTTTAAATACACTTCCTATCAATGCTGCCTCTTGCAAAAATTTTTCTATCAGGTGGAGCGTTGCCAGTCAAGTTGACATCTTTAGTAGAACTCTCAGTTCCGTAGATTTTAGCAAATACGCTTGCCGATGTGCCAGCTTGTCTCCAAACTTCGGCTGTTATGGTCACATCGTACATGTGTGAGCTGTTCTCGTTGTGTTTTACATTCACAGTTGGACCCAACTGCCAAGAAAAAGTTATTATCATGCTATTAGACGACGGTCAATTACGTCTCTTGTAGCAATTCCAATGAAATCCGTAGAATAACTGGTTAGGTAAATGATAGTGATTATCGATACCTTACATAACTTCGAATGCGCAGGTGCATCGAATTTCCAAGAATGCTTTTAGTATCAACAAGAAACATGAGTAATAGACCACCCTTATTTATCGGTTAACCGGCGAAATAACTCACGCTGCTCAGGATGTTAAGAGAACGCGAAAAAAGTCTGTAAAGTGCTTAGGGCGGCGAGTGATTTACAAAAATTATCAGTGCCCTCCGAAAGTCCCAAGATACTCATTGCGTTTGTGAACTGATAGAAAGTGCAGTCTATTGCTTTTATAAAATAAATTCCTAAATCTTAAAAGAAAAAACAGTATTGTTTTCAATTTTCTATGGGTCTACCAGTGCAATAAACAGTAAGTTCTTTTAAGCAACCAGTGCGCTTGTAGCCTCTCCGACATTCCATAGCCAACAAGTCAGCGTACCTTTCTTTCGTCTAACATATCCGCTTTTCTCGCCCAGATAATTACCAACACATAAACGCCAAAAATGCCACACACAGTTGAAAGTACTACATAATTTCCTGTTTCACCGAGCCTGGTAAATTCTATGGCAATGAAGATGAAATAAAAAAAAAGCTTTTTATGAACTTAGTAAGAAACCCTACAGCTCATTTCATCGCTAATGATAGCATATGACAGCTCCCAGTTGAACCAGTTATCTAAACAAAGGTTAGCCGTTGATTGTAAAAACTGCGTTCTACACTGTCTTCGATTAAGCTGAATCTTTTTCTAACCATTTATATTTGTGAACAGTGTCCAGGAGACGAAACCTAGCAATGGAAGTTTATTTATTTAATCAAATCAACATTCTAGAGAGAATTTTAGATTCTTCTTTAAATTCTAGAGCGATTTTTCTGAACTACTACCATCGACCAACTCCTGTGCCTCCGTTGTCAACAACATAGCCGGCATTAGCTGCCAAGCCTTATGTGACTCCATTGAGAGGAGATAATCCTCAAAGGCACTTGTGTTTTTAACGAGAAGCTCAAAGAGATCCATACTGGCGTTAGATTTGAGCGGAGTGACCTGCAAGATACAAACTTTCTTAATATAGTTATTCTTTCTTAATGTACATGTAATGTGCGTTCATGCAAGGTTTAGTTCACAAAAATTACTATTCTAACTCCATTTCGTTTGAGCATACTCACCGCTGGTTCGCTGAATAATGTATTGATATTGTAATGAGAAGTC